ATATGATTTTTTTTTTTTTATTTGTCATTAAAAAAAAGAATACAATGCCGTGTTATATAAATAAAATCTACATGACCGGGGCTAAAAGAAGACAATATTTGCCTTATCACTACACCCCGACGTGCTTTCATCAGCAAGCGTGTATAACCATTAAAATGTAAACATAAAACATAAAATTACTTTGTACCATTTAAAAATTATATACAAATATATACAAATATGTTAAGATCAGTTACTAATCTATAATCAAAAGAAAATTGTAAAAACAAAAACAAAGAAACAAAAAAAAAAATAAAAAAAAAAAACAAAAAAAAAACAATCACACTTAAAAACTGAAGATACGCTAATAGGATAATTAAAGAAAATTTAAATTGGTTAGACAAGTTAATAAGATAGTTAAAAAAGAAGATAAAAAAATCTTAAAAAGAATTTAATTCATTAACATCGTTAAGAAGTTTTTGTTTAAGTTTTTGTTTAAATAGAGAAAGTGAAGAACAATTTTTCAGCTGGTTGTTTAATAAAGTGTTCCATAATTTAGGACCTCTGATGGCAATAGAAAATTTAGTGGCCAAATAGTGTATTTTAGGTTGCTCGTAATTGTAATTTGAAAATCTTGTAGGATACACGTGATTAATTTTATTGAAAAATGTATTAAAAATTATAGGAGTTAATTTATTATGTAGTTTGTACATAAAAATAAGAATTTGATAAAGGTTTAACTGAAGAATATTGAGTATGTGATGTATTTTGAATAGTTCTTTAGAATGTGCGAATCGACCTACATTTGAAATAATCCTGACAGTGTGTTTTTGTCTACTAAGCAATTTTTTAACTTTACTTACATTAGAGCTGCACCATGCAATATTTGCATAGTTTATATAACAATGTATGAGGGAGAAATATAAGATTTTTAAGCAGTTTTGGTTTAAGATTTGCTTAGCTTTGTATAGTATGCCAATATTTTTTGAAGTTTTATTTTCAATTGTTCTTATGTGTTTTCTCCATGTCATGTTTTCGTCAAGTATCACTCCTAAAAACTTTAATGATGACTCTCTAACTATTTTAGAGTTGCCAATGTAAAAATCAGGAAGTTTTAATGGAATATTTTCTTTATCGTGAAGTCTATGAAAAAAAGTATACTTAGTTTTATTTAAATTTAAGGACAATTTGTTTGCCTTAAACCATTCCGCTAGATTTAAAAATTCCTTGTTTACTATTTTAAATAAGAGGTTGATATCTCCATTAGAATAAAATAAATTTGTATCATCTGCAAATAAAACTGAGTTTAAAATGTTTGAAAACTTATGGAAATCGTTTACATAAATAAGAAATAAAAGTAGACCCAGAATTGAGCCTTGGGGAACACCGCAAGTAATAGTCAAGTATTCAGTTTTTATTTCTTCGTGTGCTATGTATTGTTTTCTATTGTTTAGATAACTTTTAAGCCATTCTAAATATGTACTTTTAATACCATAACTTTCGAGTTTTTTTATAAGAATGTTATGGTCTACTGTATCAAAGGCTTTGCTAAGATCTATAAAAACTCCTAGGGTAAACTTACTTTCATCAAATGCTTTAAATATATCGTGAACAATATTAATAATGGCATGGTCAGTTGAATACCCTGGTTGAAACTATCAATATATTTCAAACTATCAATATATCAAACTACAGAACAATATCCATTTTTTGCAACATTGATAAAATTCTTGAGAAACTAATGTGTAATCGTCTATATGACTCGTTTTTCATGACAATAAAATACTTTTCGAATTACAATTTTCTAGCAAACTATTCATCCTTTGCACCTAAGCATAATAGAAAAAATTAAAAATTATCTGGATGAAGTTTGTGGTTTGGATGTTGGCTCGCAAAAGGTTGTCTACCTACACGGTAGATGTTGAAATTTTACTTTATAAGTTATCCTACTATAGCGTCAGAGGAAAACTTACTTCAGAGAAGTCTTACTAATAGAACAAAATACGTAGCTATAAGGATCATATTGTAGATATATAGGATTAGCTCAAACATAAACTATGTTTATGTACGTGTTCCTCATTTAAAAAACTTCATTCTGGGAATATTAAAAGGTTTATTTAGGTATAAATTTCTAAGAAATTATCCTTTCTTCTGCCTTATTTAAAATGCCAAAAAATGGGCTACAAGAACACCATTCCTTCTAAGGTAAGACAAATCATTAACAAACAAACAAAAAATAGCTACATTTTACTATATATATTTATATATATATATATATATATATATATATATATATATATATATATATATATATATATATATATATATATATATATATATACATATATATTGCAGCAAACCTGGCATCATCTTTATATTTGCGAATCCAATCGAATCTTATAAAATGTAATTTTTTCCTATTTCAACTATTTATAAAAACAAATAAGGCCAGTTGCGAAAAAACAGTAACAGTTTTTTATATTTTACGAGTATTCTAGTGGGCATAATTTGCCCAAAATGGGTGTGTGGTAAATTTGACATGATCATAACTTTTCAAACACTAAAATATAATGCATTCAGTATAAAATGGTGAAAACATATATTTTATTAACTCATAACCCTTGTGTTTGGGCAGAGGAGGTGAGATTGAAGGAGTATTTTAGTTCGAAAACAACAATTACAAAAATATTTTGCTAAACATTCTGATTTGACATAAGTATGAACATGCTTAAGTTTTTATAAAGACGTTTTATAAAGCGTCTTCTGAATGTTCAAAAAAGTATTTTGCTGATCCAATGCCGCTGGGCATGTTACATAGAACTGACGTTGTGCATGCTCTCTACACCTAAAATGGATTTGCACGGTTTTACTTCAAAATATGATTTAAAAACTGCCGCTGTTGTATGTAGAAAACTAGGTATTAGTTATATTTTATAGGTTTTTACCTTTTACTAGGTATTAGTCTCATTTAGGTATGAATCATATTTTATAAATACACCGTAAGTTACAATGCTTATAAAAACCGTTATAATGTATGTTATTTAGAATTGTATGTTATTTAGTTATTAGCATGTTATTTAGAATTCGTTATTTTCTTATTAGCATTAATTTTGTTATTAGAATATATTAATTTTGTTATTAGCATTTTATTTAGAATTCGTAATATGTAAATGAGAAACATAACATGTAATTTACAATACATTACATGTAAATTAGAAACACAACATGTAATTTAGAATTCGTAATATGTAAATGAGAAACACGACATGTAATTTAGAATTCATAATATATAAATGAGAAACACAGCATGTAATTTAAAATTCGGAATATGTAAATGAGAAACACAACATGTAATTCAGAATTCGTAATATGTGAATGAGAAACATAACATGTAAATTACAATACATTATATGTAAATGAGAAAAACAACTTGTAATTTAGAATTCATAATATGTAAATGAGAAACACAACGCGTAATTTAGAATTCTTAACATTTAAATGAGAAAAACAACATGTATTTTACAATACATTATATTTAATTGAGAAACACAGCATGTAATTTAGATTTCATAGTATGCAAATGAGAAACACAACATGTAATTTAGAACTCATAATATGTAAATGAGAAACACAACATGTAATTTAGAATTCATAATATGTAAATGAGAAACACAACATGTAGGTTAAAATTCGCAATATTTTAATGAGAAACACAACAAGTAATTTAGAATTTGCAAAATGTAAATGAGAAACTCAACATCCCAATGGGCATACGGACGTCCACAGTACGTCCAAAATGGTCCGTTCGTACGTCCCAAATGGACGTTAAACAACTTTCATCCGTCCATTTCGGACCTCTAAAGGGTAGCAGGAAAGAATCCCCTGGGAAAAAATCCCCCTAAAAATTTTTTTTTTTAAATTGAAAATTATTAACAAAATATTTATATTTATTTATTTTAAATAGTTTTATAAAATACTTCATTTTTATCAAAATATCAAGTTATGCGCTATTCTTCGGTTGTCGGTAAAATGCAAACTGCGAACCACGAACTGCGAACCAATTCTTAATTATCTATTTTAGAGCTTTATTGAAAATAATTTTTTTTTTTTAATTGTAAAACATGTGCGGTGTGTTGCTACGTTAACTAATTTATAGCCTGACTCGTAACGGAGTCGACTGGCAAACAGCCTGACTCGCAATGCTGCTACATCGACTGAGGGTTTGGTTTGGTTAGGCAATCTATCAAATAGTTAAAAAAAAAAAAAATATATATATATATATATATATATATATATATATATATATATTTTTGTATTGTATTCGTCTAGTTTCACTTAATTTCCTTTTATTTTTTTTATATAATTTTTTCGCTTAAAAGTACTTCAAATATACTACCAAATTAACTATTTAACGGTAAAATATAAATAAAGTATTACCTCATTAACAACCAATACGACGATGGTTTGCAAAAAAGTTTACATTTTACCAGTTCGCAGTTTGTCAGGGTTATGGTTAGGGTTTCACATTCGCTACCTTCGAGGAATTGCGCACAACAACCAAATTTTTTCCGCTCATTCAACATTTAATTTTATTTAACTTATTCTCATATCGACTCCATTTCTAACAACTATAAAAAATAGAGTCTTGATTTAAGAAATAAAGTTTTTTTTCCCCACAAGGCCTAAATTTAATATGCACGTGTTTAGGGATTCATCACGTGTAACAACCCTCATTAGAAAAACAAAAAGGTTATTGCATAAATAGTTAAATCCCAGTATTGAAACAAATCATTACAAAAAAATAAAAAAATAAAATTTTTGAAGGTTTTATTATATAAATACAATCTAGCGTAAACATTATTTTTTGGCTCGTTTTAATATGTATATGTATTTAAATATAAAATTTTATATCTCTAAAAGACATATAAAATTTTATATTTAAATACTTGTTATTAGTTTTGGCAAGTCGTACATAAAAAATATTTGCAAATATATTTGTAAGTAATGATTAGTAAGCAATGTACTACTGTTTCACGTTCTGCTATTTAATGTTAACAAAAATATTTCAGTCTTATATAAAATGCAATAGCTAAAAACTCGCATTCAATGCATCTATAATAAGAAGTGCTCGTAAATTTACATTTTTCTTTTCTTCCATCCTTGCTAAATAATGCCTGTATTCCATAATAGTATTCATAACAATTTTAACTGTTTTCCAAGGAGTCGTTCTTCCCACTCCTCTCATTTGAGTAACCTTAAAAATTATTAAAATAAATTAAAAGCAGGATAATAATCTTCAAACCAAATTTAAATACCATATAGAGTCACAACATATTGTGAGCAAATTAATCATCTTTTTTTACTAGTTTTTATAAGTACTAATATACATATACATATACATATACATATACATACATACATACATACATACATACATACATACATACATACATACATACATACATACATAAATACATACATACACACACACACACACACACACACACACACACACACACACACACACACACACACACATATATATATATTAATTAATTTATCTTACGTACTAATGAAGCTCAAGTAATATAAATCTTGGCTGAACCATTAATTATATAATAGACAAAGTAAACTATAAAAAACTTACTAGGTATGCCATCCTCCTCATCTAAATATAAAAAAAAATTATTTCATTTAGCTTAGATTTTGAAATAGCCGCTTTTTCAAGAAATATCAAGAACTTAATATTTTTTAAATTCTCTACCGTCCTACTTTAACATTACCGTCCTTCTATAACATTACCGTCCTATTTTAACATTATAAAATATGAGTTGCAAAATTGCAGTGGTTTGGTCGACAGAGATCATTTATTGACAACACCTATCCTATCTCATTTTGCCCCGCTATGTGGGGAAAAATGAGACAGGGCTAAAAAAATTTATTAAGTAATTCAAATAAATAATGATTTATTTTATGACAAAACAGATTTTTAAGAGATTTAGCAAGATAAATATTTTATAATATAATATTATTATTATAAATCAAACAAAATTAACAAAAGAAAAAAGAAACGAGAAAAGAAAAAGGAAAGCAAAAAACCAAAATTAATAGATTAAAAAGATTCGAAAATGCAAAGGAATTAAAAAGGAATTAAAATAAAATATAAAAACTGCTCCGTTTTTAAAGAAAGAAAAAAAAAAATTAAATTTTATAATTTTTGAGTGACAATATGTGTTTGCTTGATATGATTTACTTTTTTATTTTAATATTGTTATTTATTACGAAAACTCTATACTTTTTGTGACTAAATGTTTGTGTGACACGTTTTTATTTGTGAGTATTATTAAATAATTTTTGTTTTTGTTTATTTATTGTTATTTTTTAATAAAGTATTTATTTCACTTTTATCGTTTTTATTATGATTATTAATGTTAAAAATATTATATTTATTAAATCATTGTTACTTTTTTTTGCAGTAATTGTTTTAGTTGCATGGTAGGTTGTTACGTTTTGTCAGTACATAACTGTTTGTAACTTTCCTGTCTGTGCATTATATTTAATTGTAATTTTAAAGTTAATATTGGTTTATTATCATATAGTTTTCTTATCATTCTTATAACTTTTAATTTATCATCATTATTATTTGTATTATCAATCCTATTTCATGGTATTTACTTAAGATTAGTTTTTAACTATTAGTAAATGACCTCGAATGTAATATCTTTTATCAAAGAATAAATAAAATATATTAGTGCAGCCGACATTTGACGTTTGTAAAAAGTCAAATCTAATAAATAATTAAAAGGAAAAAAATTAAAATGATCAGCCTCCTTTACTGCGGTCAGTCCTAGACCTCCTCGACCTTTAGCATTGGGGAGGCGAATATATAAACAGCAAAAAAAAACAGGTTGTATACATCGTTTCCAACCCCGCATTTATTTAGACAACGTTTAGATTTATCATACCAAATACTAGATTTTTTTTTGTTATTTAGTTGCCTCAAGAAGACCTAACGGTCTTGTCACAGAGCATCGCGGAAGTGCATTTAACCAGGAAGTTCACGCCTCCTTCCTTATCGTGACGCGAAAATTGTATACCAATTTTGATATCAATACCTATAGTTTAAAAATTTGTCTATATTTGGGCATTTTGCGTCCTTTCAGAGCCCCAAAATATCACTTAGTTAAAAAAAGAGGGAACTCACCACCTTTTTTTGGTTTCTATATATAATAATGGTTTAAAATCTTACATTAGGTGGTGCCAAAAAAATCTGTATGATTAGACAATCGTACGGGGAAAATGTCATTAACTCACTTTTATTTTGTTTTACTAAATTCACTTTGTGGATTTTTTTATTCGGTGTTACTGTATTATGTTAAGAGAGCATGTGCCGAATTTCAGCTTATTTAGAATTTTTTCGGGTAATAAGTTTATTTTTGCTAAAACAACTGGACTACAAATAGTTCGAAGTCAATTAAAAAAAATTTTAAACACTAAAAAAAAGTTGGTATATTTATTTTTGTAGCAAAAAACTATACATAAGTTTACGCATTATGATACTATATTAAAATATTTTTATGTCATATTCGGATAAACATTTTAAATTATTTTAGTTAGCTGTTAGATTTCAAGATATCTTAAAAGAACATTTTTTTGATGTTGTAAAAACATAACATAATCCAAATAAATATAAGTAACTATTGACGAAAATTTTGTTGTTGTTGAGATAAATTTTGTTCTAGCTTATGTTTTAAATTAAAAAAATATTTAAATATTAAAACATTTAAAATCCATTAAATCATTGACTGTGCTAAAGTGGATGTAATATAAAATGATTTATACTCAGTTTAAATACTTCTCTATGATTATAAATAACTTAAATATAAACTTTTAATTTATAAATTTCTTATAATTTAAAACATTTTTAAAACATTTAAAATCGAAATCTTTTTTTTCCGTATAAAATCTCTGCCAAAATTTTTAAACGCAACACATTAAACGTAATACACATAACAAATTCAAAATCTTCTATTCAAATCCATCACAATCATCAAGCTGAAACTAAAATAAAATAAAAAAGTTGACAAGAACTAAAAATAATTACTAAAAAAAAAAAAAGTTTAATATTTTTAATCATGATAAAAACTGGTGCTTTTAATACAGGTTTATTTAAAGTTGTTCAAATTCATTCCCGCAATCTTTTTTTTTTAATAAAAATTTTATTATTATATTTTATATATATATATATATATATATATATATATATATATATATATATATATACACATATATATACATATATATATATATATATATATATATATATATATATATATATATATATATATATATATATATATATATATTACAAATATTTATGTTTTTATACGTTTTTTGCCACAATAGGGATGCCAGAACTTCAGAATAGGTAATGTGCGTGAGTTAGTACCAAATAGAAATAGACAGTACAGGATTTCTGGTAAATTTTTTGAAAAATGTAACTCATACTATTTCATTGTTGCTATGAGAAATGTTACTATAACAAATAAACTTTATATTGAACCATCAATAACATCAATGATAGACATTATATCGTTTATATGTAAAGATAAACTTAAACTTATGTTTGAAGTGTGCTCCACCTGGGAACAAAAATACCCTAAATGGTAGGCATCACCCGCCCAAATGAGAGGGGTATTGATTTTTCGAAAAAAAAAGTTACTTCCAATAATAAAATTTAAATGTGTATCTATAAAGTTTGATCAAAAATCTAGCGTTCAAAAGTTATTTTAAGTTTACAGTTTGAAGTTTAAAACTTACCTAAAAGTTATATAAATCAAATAGCAAAAAATCCTCCCCATGACCTAATGGAAAATGTTGTGTGGTTTGATTAGTTTTGAAAATAGCATAATAATTTTAAAACATTCATCCATTTAAGACAAAAGAGATCCCTATTGTCAAGGAGGTTATTTGTTTTTTCAAATTTACGTTAACCCTCTTTCAAGCCTTTTCAAAAATGTTCTTCAGGATTCTCCTTAATACTTTCTAAATATTCTTATTTTTAAAAACTCTGGATATCGCTCTTATCCTTCTATATCAATTGTCTTTATTATCAATCTTTATACTATTATTAGCGCTCTGACCTCTCTAATTTCCATCCAATCAGTGTTCTTTTTATTATTGACTTTTAAGTTGTTAATTAACAAATTAGTAATATATTTGAGTCTTTAATTAAAAAGTTAGTAAAAAATAATATTTTTTTTTTAACTAAATTTTAATTTAAAAGTTATAGTTAGTAATATCATTATCTTACTATTCGACTATTAAAACAGACTTCAAAAAAATATTATCAATTGATACTAATAAATTTTTAAGGTAGGAGCATTATAACATTTGAAATTGATTTACTCAAAACTACTCACGGATCAGTGAGATGCTTGTCTAACTAACGCAATGAAGTTTCATTGAAGTGTTCTTGAAGTATCAAAGGCTTTTTATAAAGTCTGCCATGTTAATAAAATTTTTATTATATAAGTATTATAAAGACATTAACACATTTATATACTATAATACATTTATTAATACTATAATATATTTATATAATTTTATCTAATTTTGTCACTTTCTGGCCCTCCTATAATATTGGCTCCCCTATAATTCAGTTGAAGGCTTTCAAAAAAATTGTACAAAAAAGCAACATTGAAATAACAGAACCATATTATAAAACAGATATTAACAATGATTTCGGGAATAAATTACTTTAAATTACTATCAAATTACTGTTTCGAATATTTCAAAAAATTATTCTATATTCCATCCTTATTATTTTGGAAAACTTTCTTATACATTTACAAATATTTTATATTTAAATATTTTAAAAATCTTTTTAAATATAATTACCAATAGGGAACTTTAAACACTACATAGTTAAATAAATGCAAACAAACATATATACACAAATACATACTTGAATACATATATACATATATACAAAACCTACTAAAAGACAGTTTAGATCTTTGTTTATCAGGGTTATGGCGATTTAAAAAACTGTCCAACTCATCCCAACCTCCTCCAACGCGTACCATTATGTGACTCCGCAAAGTCTGAAAAAAAAACAACTGAATTTTCATAATTACTGGTAAATTTAAAACTATAATGAAATTAAAACATTTCTGGTTAAGTTTGGCATAAAATTATTTTCAAAATAAAAATCAATAACTTTTGTAGCTAATGATTATTGTCATAAATTCTAAAATTATTAATTGTATTTTGAATTATTAATTGTAATTCACCATTATAATTGTATTTTGAATTATTAATTGTAATTCACCATTATAATTGTATTTTGAATTATTAATTGTAATTCACCATTATAATTAATAAAACTTAGTAAATAAAAGTAAATAAAATTAAATTTATTTATGGATTCTTCTTTTTAAAAACTCCTCACTCTATTTATAACAAAGAAATATTTTTACTCTTATTTTTATGCCGCCTCTCAAAATTTATGTAGTTTGCATAATCTACAAAATTGTTGTGCAATAATCTACAAAATTAATGTTCAATAATCTAGAAAATTATTGTGCAATAATCTACAAAATTATTGTGCAATAATCTATAAAATTATTCTGCAATAATCTACAAATTGTTGTGCAATAGTCTACAAAATTATTGTGCAATAATCTATAAAATTGATGTGTAACAGATCACATTCTACTCAGATTGTAAAATAAATAATAAGGTAAAGAGGTAAACGACACACCAGTTAGCAGACATCTATTTGATGATGACAGTGAACTCCCATCAAAAGCGATGGCAACAAAAGTAATGCAGAAAAAATAAATTTTTAGAATAGAAAACTTGTAAGCAATATTTGTACTGTTTGTGAGCAATTGGTTCATAGGAAATGTAGTAATATACAAAGTGCTTTAATATTGTTTAAATTTAAATGGGGAGGTGTACATTTGGTGTAAACAGAGAAGTAAAAAAAAAGTCATGAAAAAGTATAGTGGTAAAAAATAGAACATAGTGGTTAATTTTGTTACCTGGATTAGATGGTACAGCAGAAGAGATATCAATGGCAAGAGTAAGGTGTGGCTAGGAAATAAATCAACTTTATTATTTAAAATATAATTCTAATAACTTTTTTATGCGTCTACATTAATTTGTTAAAGGTTAATGAAAAATAACCTAAATAACACCTAACCTCAAAGATATGTTTTCAAAGAAAGCAAAAATATGGGTTGTTTTAAAGCATGGACTACTATACTGACAGTCAGAGTAACCATGCAGGTTTTGAAAAAATTGCTTTTATTGATTTGCAATATGGCACATTCTAAAGAAATCCTATTATTTCAACACTCATCCTGAAAAAAGATTTTCCAGGATAAGTGTTAAATTAAAACTGTCTGTGGAAGCGTGATTAAACAACCTTATAGGATTTTGTCTCTATATACCCTGTCACTTGGAAGTTAGAACAAAAAAAAATTTCTTCAAATTTCCAAGCCATGAGGTTTCAAACTATTGATTGTTATTCATTACTGATTGTTCATTACTGATTTTAAATCTAAAAAATTAAAACAACTTAAAAATTATTTATACGGAATTTTTTATTTATTTATTTGAAATTTTGTGGGTTTCATTTATTTTGGGACAACCTGTATATTATTATTTCAGTCAGTAAGGTTTAAAAAAAATTTTTCTTTTAGTTATCAAATAACTAGATAAAGGACAACTAAAGAAATTTTAAAAAAATTTGCTAAGGCACATTTAAGGAGAGCTTTTATAAATTTATTGTGAAAATAATTTCATCATAGTAAGTTAAACTTTCTTTTTTAATAAAATATTAAATTAAATTAATATGTAGTATTGTTTAATTTTAATTTTTTTACTTAATTCTAGATAATAATTATACAAGTCTGGAAATTTTCCATATGAAAAAACAATACAGGGGTGGGACCGCAAAATGTGAACGTTTTTGTTTTATTATAACTATTTTCTCGTTAGATGTAGTTGTACTCTCTCACTCATCAGAAAGTGTCTAAAGAGTTGGTCTAAACGTTGTAAAATGATCTAAGAGAATCAAGGAGGTCAAATTGAACATTTAAAATAGTTCATATTTAACAGAAAATTAATTATTACAATCAAAAAAGTGTTCACATTTTGCGGTCCCACCCCTGTAAGTCAAGAATTAAACAGCATATTATTGGCCTTATTATGGGAAGTCACCCTAACATTAAAATCTCTCGAATTTTAAAATATGAGTAGAACTATTGCTAACTAAATATTGCTATAAAGCTAAGTTTAATGATATCAGTAATACTGCCGATAAAAAGTGTTGTGGGCGACCAAGAAAGACAAGAACCACTGATGATGATATTATTTATAGAACTGCCAGAAAAAATTCTAAATACTCAGTTAAACAGATTGCACAAGAAATAAACCTGGCACTTATAAATCAATTATCAAGACAAAAAATTAAAAGAAGTCTTATAGACTGTAAACTGTGGTGCTATGCTGCTTTCAGAAAATCATTATTAAAACCAACAGACCATTTAAAAGAAATTAAATTTTAAAAAGCAGTTTTAAAAATGAGTAATTATGAATTAAGAAAAGTTGATTTTAGTGATGAATCTAACTACACCATCCTAAATCGTAAAAACAAAGTGATTGTCTGTAGGCACAAAAATGAAAAGTATGGTAGTTGCTGGATTAAACCTATACTACAAAGTGGAGGTGGTGCAGTTGGTATTTAGGGCTACATTCGATTTTTTTTTTAAACATCTTTGCTTCCAACAAGGCTGCAAGCAACCACTAATTAGTGTTGGAAGTTACTGGAAGAGAAAAGATGAAGATCGTAATGATTAACAGACGACTAAAAAGATAGCAAATTATATAAATCAGGAAAGCAAGATGAAGGAAGCCAATTCCAAAGAACTGATGTTCGAGGAAAAAAAATAAACAAATAAGAGTTTTTGGAGCACTTAGAAACACTAACAGAAAAAGGATGAGACTTAATTAAATGACGAGTAACACAAGAGTCAATTTTAGTAGATGACACAAGAGACACTAGCTCTTTAGAGCAGTACCCATTATAGTATTTGTAGAAAAGAGAAAGTGAAGCATTATTACAACAATGTAATAATGGTTGAAGGATGGCTGAAAGAGCAAGTCCAACTATGTTTACAATGCGTTTTTGCACCTTGTCTAAAAGAGAAAGGGCATCATTAAAACATCAGCGCCCCAGATATGGCAACAGTGTTCCATACAAGGCCAGATTTGAGATTTATAGAGATAGAGAATAGAATCCAGAGTAAGAAAGTATCAAGCTCGATAAAGAGATGCAACTTTAGCAGATACTAATTTTGCAACAGATTTGATATAAGGTTTTCAAGAAAGATCAGAAGTAAGAGTTAATCCTCAAAGATGAAGGGTAGATGATTCATCGAGTACATTACCATTCGTAAAATATAGGAAGTTATAAATTATTGCCATAACGCTTGGCTGAAAAAAATTATTTTTCTGAAAAAAATTATTTATCTAAATTAAAGTTCACGAGCCACTGTGAGCCCCATGCTGTAGCAGAAGTGAGATCCTTTTCAAGCTCAAATGCCCCCTCCAAGCAATCAGAGAGAGTTGGCTTCTTATTATGACAAGAATAAAAGGTAGTATCATCAGCGAACAATGCCACATTAGATGTGAGAATATCTGGAAGATTGTTTATGCAAATTTTTTTTTTTTTTTTTTATTTGCATTTACTCCCAACAAGGCTGCAAGCAACCACTATTAAGTTGGGAGTTACTAGGAAAAAAAAGAACACAGTTATAGAGCAAGGAAACGGTTGACAGAGGACTTGAAAAGTTGAAGGTTGTATGAGTCAGGAAAACATGAAGATGGGAGAGAGTTCCAAAGGATTAAAGTGCGGGGAAAAAAACTAGATGAATAAAAGTTTTTAGAGCATGCAGGGACAGATACAGTAAACGAATGAGACTTAGCTGAATGACGAGTAAAACGAGAATGAATTTTAGTTGATGGAACTAGAGATGATAACTCCTTTGAGCAGTGACCATGATAGTATTTGTAGAAAAGAGAAAGAGATGCAACTTTACGACGATGGGAAAGAGGTTCAAGCTTAGCAGATACTCCAGGTCCAACAACATTTACAATGCGTTTTTGGACCTTGTCAAGAAGAGAAAGTGAATCGTTAGAAGAACCAGCCCAAATATGACAACAGTATTCCATACAGGGATGAATAAGAGATTTGTAGAGGTAGAGAATGGAATCAGAAGTAAGGAAATGGCGAGCACAATAAAGAGAAGCAACCTTAGCGGAAGCTAATTTAGCAATCGATTGTATATATGGTTTCCATGAAAGGTCAGTAGTAAGCGATAATCCAAGAAGGCGTAAAGAGGAGGACTCAGTAAGAGGATTGCCATTCATTAATATAGGAATGTTGACCATATTACGGTAGTTGTTTGCAGTAAGCAACTGGGTTTTTTTCGAGTTAAAATTAACAAGCCACTGGGAAACCCAAAATATTAATGAAGTGAGATCGGATTCAAGATCAGCTGCTTGATCTAGGCAATCGAAAAGAGAAGACTTTTTGTCAAGACAGGAGTATAAAGTTGAGTCATCAGCAAAAAGAGCTACTTTAGATGAAAGGTTGTCAGGAAGATTGTTTATGTAGATAAGAAACAAAACAGGGCCCAGGATGGAACCTTGGGGAACCCCAGAAGTTACTGGAAATAAAGAAGAGTGTTGGCCTTCAAGGATGACTTTAATAAACCGGTTAGAAAGAAATGATTTGATAATCTCAAAAACTTTCCCAGAAACACCATATGAAGCAAGCTTATGGAGAAGACCAGCATGCCAAACTTTGTCGAAAGCTTTAGATATGTTGAGAGCAATAGCCTTAGCCTTGCCGCCTCCATCTAATGCACAATAAAATCTTTCAGTTGCAGCAGTTAGCAAGTCGGCCGTAGAGCGAGAGGATCGAAAACCGTATTGATTGTCTGACAGCAGTTTATTTGACTCAAGATGAGAAGTGAGGAATTTGTTGATCAAAGACTCAAAGACCTTGCTAATAACAGAAAGAAGACTGATC